TCTGACTCCTCCCAGGAACCCCCTTGCAGATAAGCATCTTAACAGCCCTTGCATAGGTTAAGGTTCCGAGAAGCTGCCAAAATCATAGCCAGTAAGCGGTAGGGTCAAGGGGTGAACCCAGGCAGTCTGACTGGCTCCTAACCATTCCACCACATTGCCTCTGCCCACCTACCCCTTTCTTAGCTGCTGCTGGTTTCTTCTTGCCAATGAGGGAGGTTTTCAATTCTGTGTGAGAAAGAAGGTGGGGCCTGAGTGAAGGCAAAGGGAGGTCAGAGGCAGCAGCTCAGTCCACACCATGCAATTCCTTGGCAAGAGCTTCTAAAAAGAACAGCTTCAGGCAGGGGAAGGCAAAGCTGCCACCACCCGTTCCAACCAAGTGTCGGGACAGTCCAAGCCAAAAACAGACAAGATATGGGGAGTTACTGACTCCCAGCAGATTAAGACAAGAACTAGACCTGAAGCACCAGAGACAAACAGAGTCCCTGAACCAATACGAAGGCTGCTAGGCAGGGGGCAGATGCCAAACATCACCCTCAGTTCCTAAAGCAGGGAGCTGGCGTGCAAGGGGCAGGGCTCCCCAAGCGGCTATTGGTTACCTCTGGCAGGAAGGGCCCCTTTGGGTGACAGACACATGGACTCTGGAGAGAAACAGACTTGTGGCTAACAAGGAGCCCACCCCAGAGCCTCCATCAAGCTCCCAAGCCCAGAGGCCAAAGTAATTCCCAGAGGCCTCTACAGAGCCTCGCTTAGACCAAGCCTGGCCAGCCTTCTCATAGGGTCAGTGTGACAGTCATTCTGTTGGCTTCCTGCCCCAATCCCCAAGGGTCAACTGAACAAACTGAGATCAGCAAATGGACTGTTCACCCTGAAGCAAGTTTGAAGGACCCTAAGGAAAGAGTAGAAAAGAGCTGAAAGGCCAGGGACTGGCTGAGAAAGGACAGTGTTACCTGCAGCCGTGAGCAGTTCAGAGCTGTCCCCACTACCCCATGAAATGACCAGACAGGCCAGTCCTGCCTCAGACCCCAGGGTGAGGTGTCCAGTTGTGTGCTGCCTACCCCTCAACTTTAGCTAGACCCAGCCCACATTCAGAGGCAGACCTCAGGCCTCGCGCACCAGCCCACCCAGGTTCATGAATTCAAAGGGTTTGACTCCAAAGTCCCTGAAGTCAATGTTGCAGCCACGAATTCAACCCCAGTCCCTGCTGCAGGGAGTTAAGATGCTCAGTGTCCTGGGGCCTCAGTCCACATGATCCACAAGGCCCGCCCTCTCCCAGTCGCCTCACACCTGCCAGCTGTCATACTGACCCAGAGAGGCTTTGGGTGAGGTGCCCAGCAGGTCTGTGTTGGGGCCATGCTCCGGCTCTGTGGGTACAATGGTGGGAGTTAGGTGTTAGGCTCAAAGCTTCCTGTGACCGCCTCTTAAGGGAAGTAATGGGACAAGAGTAGGGGACACTGGCTTTCCTCAGCTTGCAAAAATAAAAATGCCTTCCTCCAAGGGGTTGAAATGAATCCCAGCCCACTCAGAGATGTAGGAGACACCCCCCCGCCCCAACTCCTATTCTCTTGACCATATGTCCCATTCCCCGCCCCACGTCCTTTGCCAGGAGCAGGGCGCTTGGTTGGAATGCGGGCTGAACTCACGTGCCAGTCCACTGTTCTCTGCAGACGGGGCTGGCTGCTGGGTCTCTGCTGGACTGGTGGCTGGTGCATTCCAGGCAGGGGGCTGAAAAGGAGGGCAGATCACAGAAGTCTTCACAAGCCTCTCCGGCTGGCAAAGAGCATCAAGAACCTACAAGTACCTTGTGGATACAAGGCCCTACTCCAAGCCCATGAGGAAAGGAGACTAGAGATTAGTAAAATTATAGTCGCTGTTCGCTATGGAAGAAAAGAAGGAAACTGGCAGCCTCCTCCACCCCTCCGCTACTTACTTAGAGCCAGAGCCCATTCCCCTAATTTCATAACAACAACTACTGGGCACTTTGTGCCAGGCACAAGCCTAAGAACTTTTCACACATAAACACATGTAATTATCACAACAAACCCAGTAAGGCAGATACATCTCTGTTGTGAAGACGGGGGTTTTGACAGGTTAAGTGACTTAGCCACCATCCTAGAAATACCAAGTAGAGGCGCAGGGAGGGATTAACTGAGAGTCTGGCTTCAGCACCTAATGCCAGTAAAGGGGAAACCTCCTCCCATGGTGGGCTGCTGGGGAGAGAATCCTTTCATTGTCCCCAACCACAGTCCCTTTCTTATAGGGGGAAAATTCAGAAAGAGTTATTTGGGGCTTCCAATACCTCTTGAGCCTTCAAGAAGCTTCTCCTCCTCCTCCTCCCTACCACCCCAGCATATAGGGGTCCATTCCTACAGAAAGCCACATTGCACCCCTACTCATGGGAGGAAGAACACCTGGGCCTACTCAGCAGGGGCCTCAGACATCCCCTGTCTGAGGTGTCACACCAAGACGAATAGTATCCACGCCCGTGATCGCAGAAGGTCTTGGCTTTGGTAAGGAAACCACCTGTCAGGAACAATCCTGGGAAATATTCCTTATGGGCACTCACTTGGGTGTGTTCCGTGAAGAAATCTGAGTCCTTCTTCTCCGGAGAGTGATTGGGCACACTACTCATATTGTCTATCCAAAGCTAGAAGGGAGGAAACACCCCTTTTGAAACACACGGCTCTGAATATTGTCACTCACCCCACAACCCGAGCCCTGAGGACCAGGCACTTACATCGGTGCCATGCCTAGCCTGGGCCGCACTCCCCAGCTGCCGGATCTTTTCCCGGTACATCTGGGCAACTCGGCTATTATATTTGGTGTTGGCATCACTGGCAGTGCATCCATGTTGGCGAAAGAAAGCTGTCTGGAGAATAAAGAGAGGAGAGTGTGCTACAGGGGATTCTCCCCACAGCAAAAAAAGCCCAGTTATTATTTATACAGGATGATACACTCTATTGATACCAGCAGTTTTTCATAGAGGTAAAGTTCCTCAGGAATTCCTGCAGGAAACACAGCCTCCCATCCTCTGAGAGGATCAACTAAAGCCCAGCCCTCACTCAACCCTACCTGAGGATAGATAGCATGCCTTATCCGCTCTGCCCATCCTTCATCCAGGCCCACAAGACTTGGGTGACTGAGGAGGCCCCAACTCCCTTGGCCTTCCCCCAAGAACATCTGTCTAGTTTAGTTTGAATCTGAAGTCCCTTTGAGAAGAACAGTCACCAGTTTCCAAGTTGGGAGAACAGTGTTGCTATAGACCAGAGAATCCCCTGAACACACAAACTAAGACAGCCTGCTAGGAAGTCATCCTAAAGTTAGTGCTCAGGCAGAAAAATAGGGACGGGGGAGGATGGTCAAGGAGCTTTACCGCATTGGCATTCCCGCCGACCTGCATACACCTCAGCTGGAACCAGTTCCAGTTGGAATCCAACTCTGTGGACCTGTGTGCAAGGGCTGCGTGTCACCCACCAGCAGATACCAGGAGGCGCTTCCCTGGCAGACCATACCTGTCATTTGACCTCAGGCTGCAGTAGGCGCCCAGGAAACATTAATCAGCCACCACCCTATATCCTCCACTCTACCCTGTCCATGAAAGCTTTGCTCTTCATTCATCTAGTCAAAAGGGTACTAATTATTTTCCAGATCCGAAAGGAGGTCGAATTCTCAGGCACTCAAGCTTGGATATGGCTTTCCCCTTAAGGACGGCCACAGGAGCACCAATATATCAGCAACAACAAGGTCAACGCTGCTAACTTTTCTCCGAAACTAACGCTCGGAGAGTCAAGTCTGACCGCCAGGAAAGGAGGGAGTTTTGACCCAGACGCGGAGACGAACTGCCTGTGTGGCAAGGGGCCCGCACAGGCGGTTCCCTCCCGTGGGAGGCTACCGGATCCCGCCGGGAGGTTTCCGAACACCGAATTCAGAACGGTCCATGTCGAGGCAGCCACTCTCCCTTGCTGAGCACACAGCCCTGGCCAGGTAGAAACACAGCAGCCGCATGGAGACCCCACCTGATGAAGCTGAGATGGACGCCCAGGGAGCGGTGCACCCCGGAGCAGTCAATGCAGAGGAAAACACCGTACGTGATGCTGGCCCAACTCGGATTCTTGGCGCCACAGTCGAAGCAGGCCTGGGTGGAAGAGGCGATGAGCCAATGATTAGGGGCCCCGAGTCGAGGCCGGGTGCTGACACCCCAGGAAAACAGCTCACGTCCGCCCCTCTTCCTCCCTCGTGCCCAAGGGGAGCCGGGAGAGTCCCTCTCGGCCGGCGCCAGACCCCGCGCCCCTCCCGCTCACGCACCTTGTTGGTGGGAATTGCGCGAAGCCTCTTGAAAAGAGTCTGGATTTCGGTCTTTCTCGGCTCCGCCGCCATTTTCTCTCCTTCCCAGACACCAGTGCGACCGACGGGCCCCGACACGGGCCAATCCGCGGCCGGGAAGGTGGGGTACCCGGGTTGGCCTCTGCCGCGCCCTTGCCAGCCGAGGGGTGGGGTGATTTGTCCTGAGCTGGACCAATGAGCGGCCGGCGGGACGGGCGCAGGGTCGTCAGGAGACGCGGCTCCACTATAATCGCCCGAGTCCACGCCGCGCCACGCCGAGGCCAATCCGCAGCCAGTGCAACGCGACGGCTCGCTGGCAGGTCCGAGCCCCGCCGCAGCGCTGGCCCCGGAAGGTGGAGCCACCTCGCAGAAGGCGTGGACTGCTAGGCCAAGGGACCCTGGCCTTAGCTCGGGTCAGTTCCCGACGGACGAGTAATGATTAACAGCCCTACCAAGCACTCAGGGGCCCATCGGCTCACACCAAACCGGATCTCAAGTTCCTTCCACCCAGATGAGGGTCCCGAAGTTCCAGAGCAGGTACCATCTGCCAAACCTTTGCCCAATCCCCGCCCCCATAACATCCTCTAGGCCCACCCACCTCCCCTCGGTGCCTCTCCCCAGATGCCCCCTGCAGCCTGGTATAGGCGGAGTATCAAAAAAGTTGCACACAAGCCTGACAATGCTTTTTGTTTTCTCCAAGTTTAATACACACTAGAACAAGCCACAAGAGAGTGCTGCTAGCCCAGAACTACACTCACCCCAAGCCCATCCCAGGAACCCCAAAACAGACCAGGAACTGGGTCCACAGCTTCTGGGTGACTAGAGCGTTCCTGGGGAGGCCCAGGTACCCCTGAGCCCTTCTGTCACCTCCTGACCTCCCCATCTTACCCTCAGCCTAGACTCAGTTGGCCCTTCCCTGCCAAACCCTTCCTATACAGTGACCATCCCTTCCTGGGTTCCAGGACTTCTGAGGGGCAGCAGGGGCATAATGGTTCAGGGCCCTCAGGTCCGGTTGTCCAGGACAAGCTGGTCTCTGGCTCAGGGTAGAGAAACGTTGCAGAAGGGCTGTAAGGGCTGTCAGGCCCCCACACACTCCACATAATTGGCAGGGTACAGGCCAATGCGGCCACTCTGTAGCTGGCCCTGGCACCAGCCTTGTTCATCCTCCTCGCTCATCTTCAGCAGCTCCTCTCCTGGGGGAAGGAGGATTGGTCATTGCCAATTGCCCTGGCCCAACCCCGTTCCTGCAATTGGGTCAAGGACTAGGGGGGAACGGACAGCAACCCAGAGAATCCAGCTAAGGGAAGACACATGGCTCAGGCAGAGGGAGGTCAAAATCAGCAAGCCACCCCACCCCAGACCCTGAATGCAGAAATCAGGCCCCAGCTGGTGGTTTTGAGAGGCAGGTGAGGGCTCAGAGCAGGCACTCTGACTCCTGTAGGCCGGACCCCGCGCAACCTTAAGCATCAGAGAACTGGCCCTTGAAAAGTGGGTGTCTGGCTTCCCTTTTCCACACTCCTGTTGAGGCCAGTAAATGGGGAGGAGAGGGTGAAGCCCAGAAAGGAACAGGAAAGGGGTCCCAGCGCACCTGCTCGGAAACTCAGCTCATCAGCTTCCTGCCCAGCGTAGTCATAGAGCGCTCGCACCCGCACCCCAGTGGCAGCCTTCCGGGGACTGTCCTCATCTGACCACTCCTCATCCTGCGCACCACTGAAAAGGGGAGGCAGAAGGGGGTCAGGTTCAGGGCACAAGGAACACCTTGAGCTAGAGAGCCTAGGACCAGGGCCACAGGCTCACACCCTGGAGGAACCCTGGGAGAGGCAGGTGAGGAAGAACTGAAAGATTCTAGTCTGACCTCTGCCACACATGCCCTGTGAACTCAGGTGTTCTTCCTGCCACACAGGGCTGACATGAGCAGTAGGTAAGAGGGAACATGGTAAACACTTGGCAAATCTAAACCACCATGAAAACTGGCATTACAGCAACTAAGTCGGTCCTAAGGTCCCTGGCATCAATTTTCAACCCACCTCAGGTGTGAAAGGAATGAGGGAAAGGAGACAGAGGAAAGGAGGACAGGGCAGTGGGCAGAGCTATTTCCTTCCCACAGCCAGATTCCTGGCTCTCACCCTGGGGACCCCAAGGACTGAGGTGGGGGTGCAGCGCCATCCCTTGTGGGCATGATGCTGGTCAGCGTAACCTCATCAGGGCTCCGGCCACCCTTCTCCTTCCGGCTGATTGTCCTTTGTGTGTCCAAGGACCACTCCTGTGGGGACAGTGCTTAGGGTCAGGCTGGGCTGCAAGCTCTGGTGGCAGCCAGGGCCATCCAAACCACCTTCACCTACTTTACTGCAAGTCCTAGATTCCCTCCTGAGGTCCAGGCTGAGCCCAGTGGGAGCCCGCCCCACCTCCCAGCCCCACCTGGAACACATACTTCAAACTGCGGCCAGTTCATGGCCATGCCTGGCCCGTGGGTGCTGCGCCACCAGCGCAGATCCTCTTCGTCACTGGCTGCCTCGATACCCTGATGCAGGTCTCTGTGGAGCTCATGGAACCTGTGGCCAGAGGCACAACCCTCAGACTAGGAAGCCCTGGGCCCCCGCACCCCCCAATTTCATTAAGCCCAGCCAGAGCCCAGGGGAGATGGAAGAGACCCAGCATTACCCCAGATCTCCACACCCACCCCACATGCCATACCTCTCACTGCTGGAGAGGTCGAGGTGCTGGTGTAAGGTGAGCAGCATATCTTTGAAGAAGAGAAGCCGCTGGCGTTCAGCAGCCTGGCAGGTCTCAAAGGCCTGCTCCATGTCCTCCATGTAGCGTGGGGTGTAGCGATGCAGCTCTGCCAGCGTCTGCTCATACTGGGTTTTCATCTGGGTGGGAGAGGAGGGGCCCTAGGTGAGGACGAGACCTCTTCCACTCAGGACTCTGCTAGTATTTACTGAGGACCTGCCATGGACTAGACCCTGGGCTAGGCACCAGGGGCAATCAGTTACAAGACACTGCCCCTGCCTCTAGGACCCCAGCAGCCTAACGACAGAGGTGACATTCAGGCACAGCAGCTTTACAAGTCTGGTGAGTGGAGACTGAGAGTGAGAGTGAGATGAGATGGAGAGTGGAGAATGAGACGAGGTTAACCAATGAGGAGGGGTAGGTGAAATCAAAAAGGCTTCACAGAAGAGGTGGAAACTGAGCAGCAACTCAGAGAATGGGAGGATCTGGACGTGCAGAGCTGGAGGAAAGGGCGCTCTGGCAGAGCAGGCAACGTGAGAAGTTGTCCCAGGTGGTACAGTGGGAAAGGAAGGGAGCTGGGAAGGTCCCCTCAACTCCTAAAATCATCCCAATGCCTGAAATCGCACCATGTCTTTCCCCAGGTAAAGCATCGTCTTTTCTCAGGTTCCTCCTTTAAATGATAATCTGGAGAGAGTGTGACAAGTGTGGATGAGAGCAGTAAGAGTGCTAGGGACTGGGAAAGGCATTCAGGAAGCTGAGCTGGCCGGCGGGTACCTTCTCCGCCTCCTTGGTGCAGCGTTCCACGCGCTCCTGCAGCTTGCGCAGCTGCTCCTGAGAGACCGCGCTGTCTGCCTTTGCGTGGCTCTCCCGAGTCTGGGCTGTCTTCTCCTCCTTCCGGGCTCCATGGTAGCTCTTCTTGGAAGCCTCAACCTGACACACACAGGGACAACTCTGGGCCCTGCACACCATGCCCTGGACCCTCTAACCCCAGGTGGACCCAGGAAAGGGGGTGCCTGTGATGTCCATCCCTCCCAGGCTCACCTCCTTCAGCCTCTTTAGCCAGGGCTTCTGGGCCTTACGGAAGCTGTCCTCAGCAGCCCGGCTCTCGCGGAAGCCACCCAGCACGGGCCGGTGGAAGGCCCCCCGCTGCCAGGCACGCACCCGCTCACTGTCCTGCCCCTGCAGCTTCTCCCGCACCTCCAGGTGCAACGCGCTCAGCCGCTCGGCCGCGGTGAAGAAGGTGTGCCAGGCCTTCTCCAGCGTGCCATACTGGGGGCCTGCGGGGAGGGATGGGGCTTGGGCCAGGCCAAAGATGCCACCGGAAATGAGCCCACCCCTTCTCATTGGGTGCTGTTCTGGGTGCCAGGCAGTGGAGGGGGGTGCAAAGATGAACAACAATGATGTTGGCAGCTGCTTACGGAATACCTACTCTGTGCCTTGACATACCAGGTCTCACTGAATCCTTGCCTCATCCACCACAATGAAGACAGTGTCATCAGCAACACATAACAAGTGAAAAAATGGCAGCACACAGAGAAGTGAAGTGAATTGCCCAAAGCATTACAGCTACAGGTGGAGCTGAGATTCAAACCCAGGTCTGTGGCATAAACCACTACACTCTGTTGCCTCAGAGGGAAGAACCCGTGTCTGTCTTCAAGGAAGGCAGCTTGTTAGGGTAGAAAGATCCCAAGCTCCCGAATCAGAAGGCCTGACTCAAGTTTCAGATCTTCCTAGTTGTGTGACTTCAGGCAAGTCACTTAGCCTCTCCAAACTTCCAGGTTGTCCTTAGAAAATGTGTAAATCAGGACTCTCTCCATCACAGGGTTGTTAGAAATATCACAACAACTCATGACGGTACCTGGCAAACTCTAACAGCACAACTGTGAGAATAACCAGTAGGATTTTCCCTTTAAAGGGAAGGCAGACGTGGAAGCCTCAACCTTTCCACATGAGGTGCACACAGAAGCTGCCCTCCCTGTCCCCACCCTTGGTGCCCTTCTGCTCCCTGCTAAGCCCGAACGCTGGCTCACCCTTCTCCACGGTGCCCCTCCACTTGCGGGCCCAGTCGGCCAGCTGCTGGGCATAGGCCTTCTCGATGCGGGCACGCTCCTGGAAGCAGCTGACCAGGTCCCCACATAGCCGATGCCCGTCCTCCACCCGCTGCACCGTCCGCCTGTAGTTGCCAGCCTGGGGCATACATGGAAAGGGCAGTGTGGCCAGGGAGAAGCCCCCTTGAGAACTGGGGCTGACAGCTAGGCAATTCCTCTAGACAGGTGGCTGGGCTCAGAGGGGGGTGGGCATTTCAGTGTCACCCTCAAGCCTGGAACCCAGCTGCTCACCTCCCAGAAACTGCCCTCTAGGGCCTCCCCTCCAGCGTCTTCCTCTGGAGCCATGGTGTCCCTGCAGCACGGAATGGTGGCAGATTGGGGCTGTGGAGCAGAGAGGTAAGCAGTGAAGCTGGACATACACTTTTGAAGATAGGAAAAGACCCTCTCCTGCCCCTGGGCTTTGCCCGCACTGCCATCCCCACCACCCAAGGAGCAGGTGGAGCCAGGACTTAGCAGGCAGGGGTCTGGAAGGCCCAAGGAGGGGCCAGTATAGGGGCAAGGATGGCAGTTCCCAAGTTCCTCTGCTCACCCTGGGTCTGCCCTTCCCCTCCCCCCACCTCACTCCATGTACCTGGAGCCTAGAAATCACTTCAGGGACTTGGGCGTCCAACTCTCAAAGCTGCCACTGCGACTCTGCCTTGAAGCTAATGAGAGCAAAGCAGGGGGTGAGGGTGGGGGCCTAGAGTGTCCAGGGCGGTGCCCAACTCCCCTGATATAGCAACTGCTGTCAGAAGCGCCAGATTCCAGCCAGGAGACTGCCAGGCAGGTCACACGATCCAGTTGGGGATTAAATGGCAGGCGGGGGTAGGTGGTGGGCAGAAGGCCCCACTCCCCTGACTGCAGATGAGAGGACACCTGCCCAAGCTGGAACCCTGCTGTCTTTTCTTGAACAACAAGGCGACCCTTTTCCAGAACAGGTTAAATCAGAGGGTGCCGAGCCACACCCCCCAGTAGCTCCCTGTGCTAGGAAGAGCAGACTGGGGGTCAGGAGGCTTGAGTTCTATCTTGGCCAAGAAGCTTGAACAAGTGCACTTGACTGTCCCCTCCTAAGGGAGCCTTATCTCCCTCCTAAGAAGGAAATTCCACCTCCTGGTCTGCTTCTGTGCCAGGGTTGGTGTAACAGTCAAACCAGGCAATGAACAAGCAATGTGAGGGGACTGACAGTCACAAGGAGACACTCATCCTGTTCCACAGCATCCACTGAGGTCCCACGGGCTCTGTGGGTAATGAGCAACTCAGCCTTGCCCTCAAAAAGCCCAAAGTCTGGAGCAGCATGAGGGAATCAGACAGGTGATCAGCCAGTTATAAGAGTGCTCTCCAGAATCGCGGAGGAGGGCAAGTCGGATTCCTACCGGAGCCACCACCCAAGGGGCTAGAAGTCACAGTGGCACGCAGCCACTCCCCTCCTGCCTCTGCGCAGGGTCTCTCAGCTGTCCCCAGCACCGGCTCAAGTCCCTAGAAGGAAGTTGCTTCCTCCTCTGAGTAAGCCCAGGGGACACCGCCGAGCCCAATGAGGACAGTGTGTGCCTGTTGCCCCCAAAGCAGGGCTCCATCACAGTGCTCTCCTCCAAACTGATGAACCTCTATCCATTCTTCAAAACTCAAATTGAGGCATCTTCTCCACAGTCACCCCCATATTCCTCCATCCCCATTCTCACAGCCCCTATGACCCCCTCAGTCAGGGTATAAATCCCACTGGGTTGTAACTGAGAGAACAGAATCAGTCCCCAGTCGTTGACAGAGACTTCCTGAGGATCCAGTTTGGGTTCCTCCAGGCACTGGAGTTAGTAGTTGAATGAAAAAACACATGCCAGCCCCCTGAAGACCAGGAAACCCGCTGGCTAAAGCAGCTGTGAGAAGCTGGCCTGAGTGTACCTCCACCCCTAAGCTAACAGGAGGGAGAGCTCAGGCCTGCAGTGAAGGTGCCTGCGCACAGAGCAGGAGACGGGCAGAGCAGCTGGCCCAACAGAATCCTCAGCGCTTCACCTTGCTTCCTCTTGGGTCTGTCCCATTTGTCCAGAAAGGACTTGCCAACCAGATGGAGAGAACTAGAGCTGCAGCTGTAAATCACAGAGCCTATGGAGCTGTCCCAGTCAGGCATTCAGAGGCCCCGGCCCCCTGCCTGCTCCAGCCTCCATGCTCCCGGTAGAGCTGCCCCCCACCCATTCCCTCTCTCTGGCCCCAGAACAGAGCAGGCTGTGTGTACAGGGCTGGCACTGCTCCCTCCGGCCTCAGAGCAAACACAAGCCCAAGACCCAGGCACAGCCAGGCCCCACAGCCGGGGCTTGATCTAGCTGTAGGGATGGGCTTTGCGCCTTGGCCCCTGCTGAGGAGGGCCAGCCTGTGCCTCCTGACCTCAGCAGAGACCCAGATCAGTCCCCAGAACACACTCTGCCACACACAAGAGCACAGAATGCAGAAAATGAATGCTTCCTAGCCCAGGGAGCCAGCACCTACTGGGCCCAGAAAGGTTGGCTGGGGCTTGGCAGGGTCTCCTCATAGCTGCCTGGGCCAAGATAGGGAGTCCTGGGGTTCAAGGAAGAACCCACTCTCCCTACTTGAGACCAGTGGGTAACCCTTGCCCAGACCAGCCCCCACCTTTCCCAGAAGATGGGGGCATGCCCCTGGGAGGGAGCACTGCCATCGCCATCCTGCCCTGCCCATATTCTGTCCTGAGTCACAGGCTGCGCCCAAGGGCCTCTTCTCCCAGCAGCTGCTCCCGGTGGGCCGGCAGCCCTAGGATTTGCAGGCACAGGAGGTGGTGGTAGACTAGTCCAGAGAGGGACACCTACCTAAGCTAGAGCGTCTGAGACTGGCGGCCGGGAGGCTGGGGGAGGGGGTGGCGCGGGGAAAGGGGAGGAGGCAGAACCAGGGAGGGGCATAACAAAGGGGCACTTTTGGAAACCCGACCTGCCGGCCGAGGTGCCTGCTCCCTGATGACGCATTCCAAACCCGGAGCCTCCACACCAAACCTTGGAGCCCAAGGACTGCCGGGCTCTGGTCTCAACCGTTACGGACGGCTTTCGTCCACCGGCCCCTCTTGCCGGCGAGGCGCTACACAACTCGGAGCCCATGGAGCTCACGCGGACCGGCCTGGCCAGGCCTAGCCATGGAGGTTCTAGGGCTTCTTGGCCAAACTTGTTGAACTCGGTCTCAGCGGGGGTGGGGCTAGCCGATCACCGCTGAGGGCAGGGGGACCGGCCGTGGTTTCTTAGATGGTGGCCCAGGGCAGCGACCCCAGGAATTGGGGCTCTTCGCAAAAGGCAAAGGGTCGCCGGGGAGCGAAGGCCCTTTCTGGAGCCCCAGGGCGGCCTGGGGCCCTTAAGTGGCCCCAGGAGATGGTGTGGCCCTCCAACCGCGACGCACCCCTCCCCCCGGCCAGCCTGGGGAATTGCAGGGTGCGCGGCGCCACGGATGAGACACCCCCTAGGTTCGGCCGCAGTTTTTCGCGTCCTAGAGCAGAGCGAGGTGGCTGGGGGCTCCTGGGGTGGGAGTCGGTCCCACTGCAAACTTCAGCAGTGTAAGGGAGGAGAGGGCGGGCTCGAGCCGGCTCTCCGGCCGCCGCTTCCCCGCGGTCCCCGCCCAGGCAGCACTCACCGCGTCCTCCCTGCGCGCCTTGGCGAGTGGGGGTCCAGCCACACTCCGGCCCGAGTCCTGAAGCTCCGGGGCCGGGGCAGCCGCCTCCCGGAGCGCGCCCGGCCCTCCCCCGGGAAGCCCAGCCCCCGGCCCCGCCCTCTCCTCGCCGCCGCGGCCCCAACCCCACCAGCCATCCGCGGGCTCAGGGGCTGCAGGCATCACGGCGACCGGCAGCTCCCCCGGCGCGAGCCGTGAGTCGCGGCTCCAGCGTGAGAAGCGCCAAGGCCGACACCCCAGGGTGGCGCCCCGCCGCTGCAGGGAGTCCGATTTCAGCTTTGCCCCTCCCCGGCCTTTGTAAAATCTGGGAGACCGGTGGAAGCGGGAAGGGATCGGGCCTGCATGGACACCCCTTGGTGTTCTGGGAGGCCTGAGGTCTACACTGCCTTACATTTTTTGCTGATCACAGATTTCTTAGAAGTTAGTTCTGGTGTGGCTCACAACCTTCCCCCTTGTAAGCATTAGGATTCCCATTGTACAGATGAGGAAACTGAGTCTCAGCGGCTTCCACAAGATTTGTAACCGAGCAGAGCCGGGACTCCAAAGCAGTGTCCTTTCCACTACCTGCTAATCTGCGGCGAATTCTGAGACCTGGGACAGACACGCGGTGGGGGTGGGGCAAAAAAGCATGAGCTCCTCTCCGTCCGTGTTCTTATTCCCAGATTTTGTACCACTGTTCACTCATATCGCCTCACCCCTCCACCCCCTTTGTCAGTTACCAGCTTTGGTGGATTTTTCCAGATCGCCACGATGCCACCCCACCCTAAATAAATCCCTTCTTCCTCACCCCCTTACCCCCACCCGGAGATTTTTTCGGAGCCTGCCTGTCTGTTATTTATATCCACTGGAGCGGTCCAAGAATGTTCCGAAGCTGACCTAATCGCCACCTGCTCTGCCTCCCCGCCCCTCCCGCTCGCTCCTGGGCTGGTGACCCGGCGGCCGTGCCCTTCGCCTGGCAGGCGAGAGGGGGCGCGGGCGGGCGGGGTCCAATGCCTGGGCGCTCGGAGGGCCCAGATGGTGCAAATTCGCTCGGGGTTGGAGAGCCTCGGGCGCGCTCGGAGGAGTGTGCCCCCAGGGGGGATGGCGCAGCGCTCTGGGAAGCCGAGGGTCACGCTGTTCTCTTTCCAGCACGTACTCTTCTTCCCCACCCGGTACCTCCCCGCCCCCCACTCCCTGAGGAGTGTGAGCATGTGTGCGCGGGTTTTTAAAAGCAGCTTTAAAAATAGTAAAGTTGGGGCTGCCTAGAGGATCCTTGGTTAAGAGTTGGCTACGGAGTGCCAGCCCTGAGCAGCAGGGCCAAGGGTTTGGATCCCACATGGGCCAGTGACGCTGCGCCCTCTACAGCTAAGATGGTGAACAACAACTGGACTTGGAGCTGGGCTGCCTTGAGTCACAGGCAATGGTGTAAGTTGTAGTGGGGCTGCAGTGGGCTGCCTTAAGCTACTGTGAGCAGCTGGCAGCCACAGTGACCTGCCCTGAGCCTCTGTCCAATGGCAGGCAACCCATCTGCCTCAGCAGATAAGAGCGCAATGATCACAATATCAACATGGGCCAGTGAAGCAATGTCCTCCACAACTAGACTGAAGAACAAAAAGACAGCAACTTGTCTGTTCCCCTCCCCCAATTCCCCAATAAGAATCTTTTAAAAAACAACAAAAAAAATTATGTTGTCTCTAAATCCGAGAGGAATCACTGATGCATTCTGTATGCAGATAAATCCGCTCATAGAATGGAAAAGGCCTGAAGAGAATGAATGGGGCTAATTTCAAGTGGTAGCACTAGCTACTAGAGCAGACTTGCTCTGCAATGCTTGTGGGAGGGTGAAACTGCCTCCCCAAGATGCCTGTGAGACACCCAAGACACGCCACCTTTGGCCTGGGGCCTCTGGCCGCTTGGCAAATTGTACCCGAGTAGTGGATCCTTGCCTTGGTGCTCACAAGGGTGTGTACCCAGCAGGATGTGCTTCTGAAACCAGTTTCAACACCCACTTTCTGTTGGGACTTGGACAAGTCCCTTTTCTCCATATTTCTGTTCCTACCTCTATAAAACGTGACAGGTGACCCAGCTGACCTCCCAAATGGGCCATGCTCTCCAGCTAATTAATGATTGTGAAACGACTGCAAATGAGATGAGCTGGGGTGCTGTCTAATGACAGCCACAGTGTTTTGTATTCTTTAAAATCAGTTAACATCCCACCTAGTGCCTGGGGGCTTTTAGGCACCTAAACAGAAAGTGTGAAAACACAAGAATGAAATTAATTACAGGAGCCACCTATTAAAACCCCATTAAAAATAAAGGCTGCAAGCCAGGCTCTGAGATCTAGGGAAGCCAGGTAGCGGAGAGACTCAGAAGAAAGCGCTGTTCATCAGACCACAAGGAGTGGGTGTCGGGTGGAAAACATCTGCTTCCCTTGGGTTCAATCTGGAAGCAGAAAGCAGAAATGTTGCAGCTGATCTTAATTACCTCTAAGGTACCATAGGGAGAAAAAAATAAACCAAAACCCAGATCATACCGAGCTGCTTCAAAGGTGAAAGGAGACAGCGCTGCCCTTGGAAAGCCACCCCCTGCAGGTGCTGCCCCCAGGGCTCAGATTTCTATGCCCTACAGCCAAAGCCCCTTCACACCCACACTGCTCTATCAGTGCGGTACCCAGCTGGAACAGAGTTCAAGATGAGACGCCCAAGGTCAGAGGGCTGGATAGACAGAAACCTAGAGAGGCGGCTTGCCTCGGGCCACCAGGTAGTAGATTGGTCCAAAGCCCAAACTCACAACACTCACATACTCACCTTGAACTTCAGGAATGTCCTAACCATTGTGCCTTCACTTGTTTATTTATTCATTCATTCATCCAGTCAAAGAAACATTTGAATTTTTTTTATTAGTTTCAGGTGTTCAAAGCAATATACTAGTTAGATATTTACACAAACATTTGAATTTTTGCTCTATGCTAAGCCCTATGCTGCGTGTTGGGAATACGAAGATAGATATGGCAGAGCCCTAAGTGTACAATAATGATACAATATGGACACGAAATACCATGGGAAAGGAGAGGCAGAAGAGACTGCCTTTCACAAGGCGATGACACTTGATTGGTCTTGATGAACAGGAATTAGTCATGTGAAGAGGCATTCTAGGCGGGGACATCAGGGTGTGCCAAGCCCCAGAGGTATTACCATATGACTCGGTGACCCAGTAATTCCACTTTTTGGTATTGACCCTAAAAAAACGTGTACACGTGCAGGAAAATGCACAAAAATATTGGCATATCACATTGTTTGCATGAAGGGAAAACTGGAAACAAATGTCCATAGGAGGGCAATGCTTAAAGAACCAACAGTTCATTCATGTGTTGGATTATTCTGCAGTAACTAAAGCACAAGGTAGGCAGAGATGTGGTCTTATATGAAGACCTCCAAGACACTGTTGGATGAAAAAAGCAAAGTGCAGAACACACAAAATATTCAGAGAGGATATACACCAAACTAACTTCTGTGGGTATCTATAGGGAGAGGTCTAGCTGATAAAGGAGGTTTTTGTAATGTTCGAAAATTAACAACGGGCCGGCCAGGTGGCGCATTGGTTAAGAGTTGGCTTGGGACGCCAGCTCTGAGCAGCAGGGCCCCGGTTCGGATCCCACATGAGGGCCAGTGATGCTGT